TCATATGCAAGGGAAGAAATGGTGGAATCAGGGGAGGCACAGCTGGAGAAGGAGCATTCAGATTTCTCTCATTTCAGGGGAGAAATAGAAGAATTGGAGAGTGTACAACTGGGGACTGAGCATCTGGGCTTTTTCTTTTCCAGGGAAGAAACAGATGAATTGCAGAGTGCACCGCTAGACACAAAGCATCCAGATTTCTCTCATTCCAGGGAAGAAATGGTGGAATCAGGGGAGGCACAGCTGGACACTGAGCATCCAGAATTCTCATATATAGGAAAAGAAATGGAAGAATCACAGTGTGCACAGCTGGAGGAGGAGCATCCAGCTTTCTCTTATTCCAGAGAAGAAATGGTGGAATCAAACAGTGCACAGCTGGAGCCAGGGCATCAAGACTTTTTCTTTCCCAGGGAAGAAACAGAGGAATTGCAGGGTGCATCACTGGGGAAAGAGCATCCAGATTTCTCATATGCAAGGGAAGAAATGGTGGAATCAGGGGAGGCACAGCTGGAGAAGGAGCATCCAGATTTCTCTCATTCCAGAGAAGAAATAGAGGAATTGGAGAGAGAACAACTGGGGACTGAGCATCCGGGCTTTTTCTTTTCCAGGGAAGAAACAGATGAATTGCAGAGTGCACAGCTGGACACAAAGCATCCAGATTTCTCTCATTCCAGAGAAGAAATAGAGGAATTGGAGAGAGAACAACTGGGGACTGAGCATCCGGGCTTTTTCTTTTCCAGGGAAGAAACAGATGAATTGCAGAGTGCACAGCTGGACACAAAGCATCCAGATTTCTCTCATTCCAGAGAAGAAATAGAGGAATTGGAGAGAGAACAACTGGGGACTGAGCATCCGGGCTTTTTCTTTTCCAGGGAAGAAACAGATGAATTGCAGAGTGCACAGCTGGACACAAAGCATCCAGATTTCTCTCATTCCAGAGAAGAAATAGAGGAATTGGAGAGAGAACAACTGGGGACTGAGCATCCGGGCTTTTTCTTTTCCAGGGAAGAAACAGATGAATTGCAGAGTGCACAGCTGGACACAAAGCATCCAGATTTCTCTCATTCCAGAGAAGAAGTGCACAGCTGCACATGGAGCATCCAGATTTCTCATGTTCCAGGGAAGAAATGGTGGCATCAGAGAGTGCACAGCTGCACATGGAGCATCCAGATTTCTCATGTTCCAGGGAAGAAATGGTGGCATCAGAGAGTGCACAGCTGCACATGGAGCATCCAGATTTCTCATGTTCCAGGGAAGAAATGGTGGCATCAGAGAGTGCACAGCTGCACATGGAGCATCCAGATTTCTCATGTTCCAGGGAAGAAATGGTGGCATCAGAGAGTGCACAGCTGCACATGGAGCATCCAGATTTCTCATGTTCCAGGGAAGAAATGGTGGCATCAGAGAGTGCACAGCTGCACATGGAGCATCCAGATTTCTCATGTTCCAGGGAAGAAATGGTGGCATCAGAGAGTGCACAGCTGCACATGGAGCATCCAGATTTCTCATGTTCCAGGGAAGAAATGGTGGCATCAGAGAGTGCACAGCTGCACATGGAGCATCCAGATTTCTCATGTTCCAGGGAAGAAATGGTGGCATCAGAGAGTGCACAGCTGCACATGGAGCATCCAGATTTCTCATGTTCCAGGGAAGAAATGGTGGAATCAAACAGCGCACAGCCTGAGAAGGAGCATCCAGCTTTCTCTTATTCCAGAGAAGAAATGGTGGAATCAAACAGCGCACAGCCTGAGAAGGAGCATCCAGCTTTCTCATGTTCCAGGGAAGAAATGGTGGAATCAGGCAGTACACAGGTGGAAACCAAGCATATGGATTTTTGTTTCTCCAGAGAAGAAACAGGGAAACAGAAATCTGTTCCTTTTGAATTGGAGCCTCCAAAGTTCTCTTATTCTCCCAGAGAAGCGGAGCAACAAGAAATAGCACAGCTCGTGTTGGATCCTTCAGATTTATCATGTTCAGTGGAAGAAGCAGATAAAGAAAACACTGCAGAACTTGAATTGGTGTATGTATCTGATGTATCTGATTCCATTGGGAGAGCTGGGACACAGCAAACTGAGTACCTTGGATCAGAACATTCAGATTTTCCATGTCCTGCAAATAAAATAAAGCCACAACAAATGGCACAAGTAGATTTGGACAAGTCTCATTTGTCGTATTTTGGTGTCAAAGTAGAACACCCGCAGTCTGTACAGCAGGATTCACAGCACAGAGGTAAGCTGTATTCCCTTGACAAGGCAATGGAAGGAGGAGCTACTCAACTGCAGTCAGAGCATGCAGTTTTGTCATATTCTCCTGTGAAAGAAAGGCAATGTAAAACTTCACAGCTGAACTTAGAACAAGCAGCTACATCATATTCCACAGGCAAAACAGAACAACAGGAAAGTTTACAACCAAAGTTAGAACAAGCAGATTCACCGTATTCCTGTGGAGAAGTGACACAAGAAGCTGTACAAAAAGATTTAGAAGGTCGTGAACTGTCACGCTTCATTAGTGAAGCAGAGCAACATGAAAATGTACCGCTAGCTTCGGAAAATCTTCATTTCTCATTTACTACTGTAGAAGCAATGCAAGAAGGAACGGAGTCAGGATCTTCAGACTCCTCATGTCTGACTGACAAAGCAAAGCCCTGGGAAGCGGCATCATTAGGGCAGAAGCATTCGCTTCCCTCCTACTCCCCTTCTGGCAGTCAGCAACGAGAAAGTATGCCATTGGATTTGGCACAGCCAGATGCCTTGTGCTCCTTTGGCAAAATGGAACAACAAGAAGTAGTACGACGAGAACTGGAACAACAGCAAACATCCCAGCAGAAAGCTACAGAAATGGAACTGGAGCATTCAGATTTGTCAGAAACCTGTGGGAAAGCAGAGCCACAGGAAATGGACCAAATGGATTTGGCCCAGTCAGACCACTCATGTTACTTTGACAAAGAAGGACAGCAAGAAATGGCTCGACCAGAGTTAGCACATCTGCCTTCGTCATATTCTAGTGGGGAACACGTGCAAGGAGAAGAAATGGAAATGGAGCCAGCATATCCAGAATGGGTGTTTTCCACAAGTACAGAAATGCAGCAGGAAATTATAGAACAGAAATCAAAGCAAGCAGATTTTTCACGCTCTGCTGGCAAAATGGAGCAACAAGAAATAATACCTCCAGAGCTGGAGCAAACAGTATTGCCATCTTCCACAGAAAAAGCAGCACCACAGGAAATAGAAATGAGGTCAGAAAATCCAGATTTGTCACATTCCTTTGACAAAGAACAACAACAAGAGACGTTGAAACATCCTGCTTTACCATTTAGTTTCAAGCAACAAGAAACTGCACCATTGGCAATGGAACATCCAGATTTTTCATGTGACATTGGAGAAACAAAACCAGGAGATACTGTACAGCGAGGACATCCAGAGCTGTCATATTCCATAGGAAAAGCACAACAAGAATCAGAATACATATGTCCATTAGAAACCCTGAGTGAGGCAGCACAAGTTGAAACTAAACAAGTGGAATCTGAATATCCAAATTTGTCATGTTCTGTTGGTCAAAAAGACCAGCAAGAAACTTCACAGTTGGATTCCAAATATCCAGATTTATCATGTTTCTTGGGTGGTGCCAAAGAAGAAGCAACTCTGGAGTCTGAGTCAAAACATGAGGACTTGCCTGAAGTGACCAGAAAAAGCGCTCCACCAGCAACTGCAAAAATAGAATCAAAACAACTGGATTTGGCATATTCCGTTGGCAAAGCAGAGGAGCCAGAAATTGCAGCATGGGAAATGAAACACCCTGATTTGTCACATTCCACTGATGAAACAAACCAACAAGAAATAATACCATTGGATCAGAAACATAGCAAATTTTCTATTGATAAAGGAAAGCAGCAGGAAACCACAAAACAGCAGTTAGAGCAAGCAAAGTTTTCGTATTCTGCTGGTAAAACAGAGCAATTAAAACATGCCCAACAGGACTTGGAACAAACCCATTTATCACTTCCCATTGACAAGCCAGACTACGAAATGGCCCGGCGAGAAATGGAACACGATGTGATGTATCCTCTTGACAAAACAGAGGTGCAACAAGGAGTACAACTAGAATTACAGCAAACAGGTTTAACTTACTCCTTTGGAAAAAGAGAACAGAAAATAGTACAATCAGGAACAGAACATCCTGTTTTGGCACATTCTGTGGGTATAGTAGAACAAGAGGGCATAGCACAACCAGAGCTAGGACATCCTGATTTGTCTTATTCTACTTTTGAAACAGGAGAACTGCAAACTGCACAGCTGAAACCCAAACACCCACATCTAGCATATTATACTGACAAAGCGCAGGAGAACGCACAGCTGAGGGTGGCACAACCAGATGCATCATATGCCCATGACAAAATAGAACGACACCCACTTGCACAACCGGAGCTGGACCACACAGACTTGTCATCCTCCACTGACAAAGCAGGACAGCCAGGGATGGCACACGCAGCCTTGGGACGTCCTGATGCAAGATATTCTGTCAGTAGAGCAGAGCATCCACAAGCTGCAGAACTAGGAGGTCCAGATGTTTCATCTCATAGTGAAAAAGCAGAGCAAAAAGGAATGTCAAAACTGGAGTTGGAACTTCCTGATTTGTCATATTCCATTGATAAAACACAGCCACAAGAAACTGCACAACTGGGGTTAGGAAAACCAGATCTATCATCTTTGCCTGGCAAAACAGAGCAACCGCAGACTGTTCAAGAGGAACTGGAGCAGTTAGGCTTTGTGCATTCTTTCAACAAAGCCGGACAACGAGAGAAAGCCCAGACAGAACTGGAACATCAACAGGTATCTTATTCTGTTTGTGAAGCAGAACAAGAAACTGCACATGAGAAATCAAACCGTTCGGATTTATCATATGCTGTTGGCAGATTAGAACACCATGAAATCATACAAACAGAGGCAGAACAAATGGATTTATCATGGCCGGTTGGTGGAACACAGCAACCACAAATTGCTCAGCTGGATTTGGAGTATCCAGACTTATCATATTTCATTGGCACAGTAGAGCAACAGGAAAAAGTTCAACCAGAGCTGGAACAGCCAGGTGATTTTTCATCATCTCGTGGCATAGAAAAGCAAAGGGAAAGTGCAAGAATGCAGACAGAACACCCTGAGCTGCAGCACTTTGTTGGGGAAACAGAAGGATTGCAAACTTCACAAGTAAAATCTGAATACGCAGACTTGTCATTTTCTGCTGACACAGCAGGACCTCATGAAATGGCACAATCAGAGTTGAAAGAATATGATTTGTTGCGTTCTTTTGTCAAAGCAAAGAGATCACAGGCTGCCCCACTGGAGTCTGAATATCCAGATGTCTCAAATTCCTTAGGCAAAGTAGAGCATCCTGATTTGTCCTCTACTATTAGTAAAGAAAAGCAAACTGCACAACTGGAGTTCAAACAAGAGAGGGTAGATTACAAACTACAGCCAGAGCATGACAAAGCAGAGCAGCCAAGAAGTGCCCAAATGGAAGTGGAATTCCAGGAATTCTTCTATGCCTCCGGCAGAAAAGAGCAACAAGAAATGGCAAAACAGGTGTTGGAGCATCCTGATTTATCATATTCCACTGATAAAACACAGCAAGAAGAAACTACACAACTGGAGTTAGAACAACCAGATTTATCACCTTGCCTTGGCAAAACAGAGCAACTACAAGCTGCTCAAGTGGAAGCAGAACATCTGGACTTGCAACATTTCACTAGGAAAACAAAACAGCAAGGAGTAGCACAGTCAGAGTTTGAACATACTGGTTTGCTATATTCCGTTGGCAAAAGAGAGCAGCCGCAGACTCCACAGCTGAAATCAGAACAGCTTGTAACACCACATCCCATTGAAGAAACAGAGCAACAAGGAATGGCACATGCAGAGTGGGAACTTCCTGATTTATCCTATTCCATTAGCAAAGCACAGCCACAAGAAACTGCACAACTGGAATTAGGACAACCAGATTTATCCTATGCTCTTGCTAAGACAGATGAAATACAAACTGTGCAAGGGGAATTGGAACGAACAGGTTCATTGTATTCTTCTGACAAAACAGAACAAGAAAGGGTATTACCAGAGTTGGGACATCCACAGCTATCTTATTCTGTTAGTGAAGTAGAACAGGAAGCTGCCCATCAGAAATCAAACCGTCAAGATTTGTCATATTCTATTGGCAGATTACAGCACCGTGAAATCGTACAACCAGAGGTGGAAGAAATTGATTTATCATATCCAGCTAGTGAATCAGAGCATTCACAACCTGCCCAAGTAGTACTGGAACAGCCAGAGTTTTCAGAGGCTTTTGGCAACCTAGAGGAAAAGAAAATGGCCCGGCCTGGTTTTTTGCATTCCCTTGGTGAAGAAAAGCAGAAACAGGCGTCGCAGGTGGACTTGCAGCAACCAGTTCTATCACGTCCCCTTGGCAAAGCAGAACAGCAGGAAACTGCACAAACAGTGTTCATGCATTCTGATGTTTCATATTCCATTGGGAAAGCAGAGCAATTGCAGACTGAACGACTGATATCAAAATGCCCAGATTTGTCTTATTCTCTTGACAAAGCAGAGACTCATGGAAAGAAACAACCAGAGTTATTGTATTCCTGTGGTGAAACAGAGCAGCCACAGACTGCTCAGCTGGAGTTGGAGCATACAGAGATGTCATTCTTTGCAGGAGAATGCGAATGTGTTAATTTGCAGTACTCTGTTAGCGAAACAGAGCAACCAGAAACTCCTTCTGTATCATATGCCTTCAGCAGAACTGAGGAGCAGGAAACTGCGCAACCGGGGCTGGAACGATCAGATTTATCAAGTTCTGCTGACAAAGCAGAACAGTGTGAAACTGCCCCACCGAGAGCAGGACATTCAGAGAAGCGAGACTCTGAGACCACCTCATCTCTAACTACTCAGTTGGAAACTGAACAAGATTTATCCTTTTCTGCTGAGGAAGCAGAGAGTCCAAAGATTCAACTTTATTCATCCCTTCCTGAACAATCAGTGTCTCTACCTTTAGGTGTTTCACATTCTGTTTCCGAAACAAAAATGGGAGGAAGTCAGAAGTCTTCACCTGTAACTGCCGGTCTGTCCCCTGAGCGCTCAGATTTATCTTATACCTACTGTAAAACACAGCAGTCAGAAATGGTACAACCTGAGTCAGGTTTCTTTTTTGAAAAGAATACAAAAATTGATCTACATTCACCTGTGGCTGCACAGTCAGAGACTGAACATGCAATTTTACCTGAAACAGGGAGAGAGCAAACTCCACACTACTTTCACACAACCACGCAGTTAGAATCTGAACAATTAAATCCGTCATATTCTACAGATAAAGCAGAAGCCCTAGAAAGTCAAGATTATTTAACTGTACCTTCAAAACTGGAGTCTGAACCCTCAGTTCCATTTTATTCAGTTGATGAAATATATCAGCAAGAAATTCCACCTTATTCAAAACCCGCCTCTGAATATTTGGTTCCTACATGCTCCCTTGCTGAAGAAGAAAAGCAAAGCATGCAGCCATTTATTCCGCAAACAGTGCAATCAGAGTGTAAACATATAATTACACAACATGATGAAAGAGAACTGCAACAAATTCAGCTATATTCATCTAAAACAACAAGATCAAAGACTGCACAGTCAGAGAGTATGTCTCTTATGCGCACAACGGACCAAGGCAAGCAAAGATCTCTAGATCATTCATTGGACACAGAATATTTGTCATCCGAGCAGCTAAGAATTCCCCCCACATTCACTGCTGAGCAGGATGAGCAAGAAATGCAACCCGATGTGCAGCAAGTGACAAGGTTGGTGACTGCAGAGTCGAAGGTGGCTGCTGTAGCAGACCAAAAAGCAGTGTCGTCAGATTCATTTGTACCTTTTCCTACGTTGCCTGAAAAGTCGGTATCACTGGCTTGCACTGATGATGAGAAGAAACAAAATATTCCATCATCTTTATCAGACATAGTAGGCATGCTTGGAAAGCAGCCAGACGTTGTTTCAGGCAGTTATAATGAAGAAAAGGATAGACATGAAATGCAACCTTATTTTACAGAGCAAAAATACACATCCTCAGAGCAATTGGGAGCTGTTTCATCAGATCTTATTTATGAAACTGTGACACACACAACTCAGCGTTATTCTGGTGAAGGGAGCAGCCTTTCTTCAGCAGAATCGAAATCCATTTGCTGCATTTCTTCTGATGAAAAGCAGAATCCAGATATTCCATCTTCTTCTTTTGGACTAGCTAGCTGGCTGGCAGAAGAGGTGAAAGCTCGCTCAATTAGTCCAATAACAACTACAGAAGCAGACAAGCAAGGAATTCAGCTTTCTCCAAATAATGCATCTGATTTTGGATCAAAACAATTCCCACCTGGAAGCTGCAAGGAACTTACAGTTCATGGTACTATGAAGAATAAACCAGGTACATCTAGAGTTTCTGAGGTAGTGTCAAGTGAAATTTCTCAGAGATTGTCCTCAGAAACTAGTCACAGAATTCAAAGGCATGATTTACAGTCTCTGGGAAGAGATAATCCAGGTCCAGAAAAAGTTCCAAAGAATGAAACTAGCACTGGAAATCCTACAAAAATGGAAGCAGTGCAGCATCCAGATGTAGACAAAGTATGTAAAGTGTCTGAACATCACCTGAGAAAAGAGGAAGAAACAGAGCATATGAGAGCTGTAGAAGATAGTCAACATGCTCCAGAACCTACTGAACAAAAAGACCTATTTAATATAATTTCAGAAGGTTATGAAATCCTGAATATTCATGCTCCTACACATATTTCTTCTGTTGATCAAGAAGAAAGTAAGCACATGCCAGATAAACTAGAATACTTGGAAACAAATCCTTCATTTAAGAGAAAATTAGCAGATGATGGCCATACAGCCTTAGCTTCTGGAACAACCATTGAAACTTCAGAAAGCTCAGTGCTGGAACAGCCTGTAAGTAAAAATCATGAACTAAAAGAATTGGTCAAAGATGATGATGCTGAGGAAACTGGAGAAACAGAAAAGTCCGTGTTGCCAAAAAATAATAATGACACAGTGTTGGACACTAATAATGGCATGGCTGATATGGATTATTTTGAAAAATATACTTTGATTGATGACAAATCCCTGATTAAGCCAACTTTTGAAAGACCAAGTACATTGGTTTCTGTGACAGAAAATCCTAAGGAACCTGTGGAAGAAGCCATATCTCTTAAAGAAAGCTCTGAGGTAAATACTTTGGAAGAGGAATTTTCCTTACTTGAGGATCTGGATGAAGTCTTTTATGGTACCGTCAAAGGAGAAAGCATGGAATCCTATGCAAGTGTTTCAAAACCTTTACTGCTACAAAAATCAGTTGACGTGAGCAGTAAAAAAGTTATGACTGCAGAAGATGAACGGAAGTCACCAGGGACCCCACTGTTTGATTCAGAAGAAGGAGTGTTAGAGCGATCTCTACTGTTTCCTACCACTGTTGCTGCAATTAATCCAGAGCTTCTAGAGGAGCCACCTGCTCTGGCATTTTTATACAAGGACCTCTATGCAGAAGCAGTGGGAGAAAAGACAAAGGAGGAGACTCCTTCTGATGAGGAAAGTGGTAATTCTAACGCATCATTTCCTAGTAGAAATTCAGACACAGATGATGGAACTGGAATATATTTTGAAAAATACATTCTTAAAGATGAAATTCCTGGTAAGGCCATAGGCCATCCTCAAAAGGATCAGATACAAGAGGATCAGCCTGTTAGTGGAGCTTTTTCAATTCAGAGCTCAGGGGACAAACACAAGCAGTGGTTTAGTGATGTGTCAGGTGTCAGAACTGAGGTTCTGCCAGAAAGGGGAGTTGTGGAGAGAGAGAAAGTCCGGGTCGACAGTAACATTAAAGCAACAATTTGTAAACCAACGCATGCCATTCCTTTTGGAAGCAAAGTAAATCTTCCAGGTGCAAGAAGTGCTACCAGTGAACAAAGAGAAGAAGAAAACATACCTGTAGAAACAACTGAAGAATTACCAGAGCAAACAAGTCACCAGGAGCATAGGCAAAGAATGGATTATCAGGGAGCTGCACATCAAGAAGCAGCCAATGAGCAGGAGGAACGACATGAAATAGTGGCAGTTCATCAAATGGAAAAATATATCCCATATATCAGGACACCGGTTGAAGACAGTGAAGATGATCAATATGCCCAGGCAAATCTTTCAAGTGTCCCAACCATTCAGCCAACAGAGAAGCCAGACTTGCAGAGAGAGGAGCAGCGCCGTGATATTTGTGAAGATCTTGCTGAGGCAATGGACTACGATGTGATTACGCAAGAAGAACTTCTACAAGATGAAATGTCCTCTGAACTGACACATGAGGAGCTACTATTTGAAGATAAGGACTCTCTTGAGCATATTGGTGACAGTTACGAATTTGTAGATGAGCCAGAGCAAAGAACACCTGTTGAACTTGAAGATTCAGGTTTTGTTGTGATGTATCCTGAAAAATCATCAACAAAGATACCTCAGGTTGAGAGTCCACAAAGAGAACTGAAGAAAGCGCAAGTAGATACATATTGTTACCACTGCAAGTGCCCGATATCTGCTATTGATAAGCTTTTTGGGGAGCATAAGGACCATGAAGTCACAACACTGGATGCTGCTGTAACCAAGATGAAGGTAAGAATTAATTTGTGTGGGGGAGAGGAGGTACTGAGGCTAATTTCTCTAGGCTTCCTCTGTGAAGCGGCCTTCGGAGAGTAGTGTAGAAGCTAAGTCATAGTCATTTGAAATAAAATGAAAGCTTTCCCCAAAAACCTGAGAGAGGTCTAGAAGGGATAATTTTTTATCATCGAGGTATTATCTAGAGCCATAAGCTTTCTAAGCTGATGTTTTTATTTATTCAGAAGTTTGAATGACCTTGTTTATATGTGGTTTTTACTGGACTTGCCATTTTTTTAGCCTTCTGGTTTGTGTAAGTTTGTCTAGTTTGTATGCATAGAGGCAGAAATGGGAGGAGTGATGTTAGTTTGTATGAAAAGAGAGAATTTTAGTAAGAGCAGCTCATTTCACCTGACAAAGTACAGAAACCTCCATATGCTGGTACCAGCGTCACCATAAAGTGTTTCCTGTCCCAGTTACTTGGAGATGTTAGAGTATTTACAGTTTACACAGTTCTGTTATAACTCTGTCCTCATTTTCCGTTCAGTTCATGTTCAGCTTCCCCTGATAGCGTTTTAGGTGTAGTGTGGGTAAGAGCAATCCTACTTCTTCCCGCTCTTTCTAAACTGTACCGTTCTAAAAGAGAGATATAAATGCCATCCACTTCAGCGGAGCATGTCTTCAGTAGCAATACTGGTGAAAATGCTTTCATTTCTGTAGAAGTTCATTCTTCATTAAATTGCTGTTCTGCCTGTAAAAATGGCATGTTTGTGACGTCTCACTTTTGCCGCATCAGATTTGTTCATGTCCAAGAACAGATGTTCCTTCCTTGATTATCAGCTATTTAATCTCACCCCAGTGTCTGAAAGGTGAGCTCTTTTCTGGCACATGCACAATTACCAATAATGGAGATCTTATAATTTCATTAAAATTCTAGAAGGGCTTATGTCACTGATTTTCCAGTTATTTTTATGTTAACTCATAGGTAAGAAACAAACATTGCAATTAGGAAAGGTTAATGTACCAGTTTCAAATATCAGTACTAACAAAATATCTCCATGGTGTGCAGAGGTATGACAATGTTATCACGTTTTGTATATGGCCATTCATGTTTCACTCAGAAGTGATAATTAGCCAACAGTAAATGAGTAATAAAGTCACAGCCCCCAGCCATCCCTCAAATGTAACCGCATTGCAGCGAGCTGAGTTAAACGACAAATAAACGTCCTGTGATATCATTCCCTGGCTGTGGAACTTGGACATGAAGCCAGTAATGAAATCTGGTCACAACACAGGCTTGGCTTCACATGATTTCTAGCACTCAAGGCTCCTGTTACTCTCAGATGGCATTTGTATGTTTCTTGTTACCTTTTCTGAGAAATTTCTGAGAAAACTCTAAGGTAGCAAAATGCTTGTCACCTGAATTTTAACTGTAGGAGCATAGCTTCGCCATAAGAGAAATGAGCTATGGATGGCATCTGTCAGATTATGTAGGTGATCTTGACAAACAGAAGTTCGCCTCTGAATCTCAGCGCTAAATATTTATAAACGCAGCCTTCAATTTTACAGTCCAATATGACATTTATAATTAATGGAAACTTGTATGGTAGTTTCCAACCAGATCTAGCTGTAGAAGTTTGCCATGATAGGAAGGTGTTACCAAAGCAAGTTAACGTTCCTTTTATATTTATGCCAGCTAATTAAAACTAAGTATTCTTATAAATTATAAATGGCCTCTGAGCAGATGGCCAGCTTGCTTTCATGAAAGGTCAAGAAGGACTACTGCCTAAGAAAGATTTCTGTGTTATCTCTGGCGCCCGTTGTTCCTAGGACTTCTTTTGTTTGCACTTCTAATTCAACCAGTGATTTTGATGGGAGATTTGGCCTGTCAGCATTGCCAGTTCAGGATTCTGTAAAAAAAAAATCATGACTTATGTTCAGTTTGCTGCAGGGGATTTTACTGCACAAGCTATTAACCTGAGAATTACCTGCATTTTCTTCCTTTTTATGGGCCTGTTTCTACAATCTCTTGAGGACCCTCATGAGGCTCTGAGTACCCTCAACTTCCAGCAAAGCTATTTTGAAATTCGTAATGTTCAACAACTTGTATAAGCACGTAGCACATTGTTAAACTGAGGGTTTTTTTTTTTTTTGAAACAATTTTGTGACTGTTCCTGTTGCTATTTCTGTGCTTGTCTTTGTAGCCAGGGAGACGCTTCAACTTAATTTAGCAATTATTCCAATGGCAGCTCATGGCAAAACAAAAGTATTCATGTAAAATATGTTTTGTACAAAAATTTTATAAAATAACATACTCAGTTACTGAAACTTCTAAAATTTCAGGATCAATTAGGTGAATTGCTACTAGCATTGGAAGAAAAGTCAATGAAGATTGAAGGGTTTGTGAGTGAAATTGAATCCCTATTTAACTCTGTTGAGGTAAGTTCAGTGTTTTATCACACTAGTTTTCTTTCCCTTCACACAATTGCTTCTAAGATATGTTTGCCTTGTTTTGCAGCGTCATTGTTTCCACTAAAATAGGCTTTTTCTCCAGTCCTCAAACTGACTTCTCCTGCCTCAAGTAGTTAACTCAAGGGGAAAAAAAGATGCAAAAGTTTGCTTTTTTGTACATTATTGCAATGTGGAATATGTCACTGGAGGAAAAAGTTCCCTTAATTTTGTTCGCATTTATAAAAAGCTCATACTGTTTGTGTCTATATTTAGAGTCCTGTGTTAAACCTAACACGTTATCCAATGTCCCGAAGGTCTTAAGCCTTGAGGGCTGTATTAACTTCAGTTTAAAGTATGGATTTTTAGCTATTTTGTAATCAGACTTCCTGTCTCTATGCTTAGCTATAGAAGTTTGCCATTGTTTTTAATGTATTTCTCTAGCATTATTTCTCCTAGGTGAGCTTGCTTCCAGAAATAAAGTTCTCTTATTGTCAGGATGCCAGCAGGAGTCTGGTGTATGGCTCATGTATGGGTAGTTGAGATCTTCTGTGTATTCATCAACTGCTGTAATTTTATTCTGCAGATCAGTTTAAATTTGTTTTTATTTTCCAGGAAAACTGCAAGAAAAATGCAGAGTTACTGGAAAAGCAGAACGAAGAGATGATTAAGAAAGTGGTAGCACAATATGATGAGAAATCAGAGAACTTTGAGGAAGTGAAGAAGATGAAAATAGAATACCTGTATGAGCAGATGGTTAACTTTCAACAAACTGTTGATTCAGCAAAGGAAACCTTGGAGACAACGGTAAAGGAAATGGAAGAACTTGATGGATTTGTTTTCCTAAATGTAAGTATAGGTGACCATAGCACTGCAGCTTTTTTAATACTAGTTAGGAAAGCATTTATACATTATCTAGGCTGGGAACAAGTTACTTATCTTTGGGTGTTTTTTAAGACAGCTAAATCCTGCAAGCTCAGCTATTCCACTCTGAAACTGCTATGTTGTTTGCTTTTGTCATGTGAATGCTCGGAGAACTGCAAAGGTGATGCATAGGATGAAAACGTGCCTTATGCCTTCAACAGAGTTCTGTTTTGCTTTGTGAAGAGAAGGCTAAGAGACAGCTTGATAATTTATCTAGAATTAGCCCTTCAGGAATAAGAAACGTCATAGTAGAAGGTACTTTATTGTAAGAAAGAAAGGTGAAACTGGAAAGTGTAATTGAAAATTATCCACATTGGAAGATGAGTTTTTGTGGGTGTTTTTGTTTTTTTGTTTTAAATGAGCATTCACGAAGTGTAATTAGGCAGTCGAGTTGCTGAGACTAAACTAAAAGTTTACTACTGAAAAATTTCTAAACGGGTTAGGTTTAGGAATGTGCCTGTAGCATGCACGTCTGTAATGGTCTTTTCTGGATTTAGAAAATGTCCCTTGTGAATCCGCATGACTCGAGTTACCTGGCTGATACAGTCATCAGTCAATGTTATCCTAAGCTTGGTTTCACAGTCTTGTAGGTTAACCATTAATGGCCTGGGGCCTCCAAGATTATTCTTGCGCTGCAAGAATTGTCTATAATTCAGCTGTGGCACTTCCTTCTCCATAGAAGTGTATCAGCAGTTTTGAAGGGGATGGGATTTCTGGGACAACAGTCTTTCTCCCGTTATGGAATTAGCCAGTAGTTTGGAAGCTGCAGAAATTCCCCTGGGATGTAAGAAACAAAAAGTTCAAGTTACTGTTTAAAGACTTAATCATTCATAGAAAATAGAGCAGTTCCCCAAACAGAAGTTCCCAGCTCATATACCAGCAGTTATAGAAGTCGTGAGCAATCTTTGGCATTCCCCACTCCTACGAGTTACCCGAGGACTTAGTGTCCTGTAACCAAGTGAATGCCTTGGCAGATGGGCTATTTTGGGCCGGGTGAAAAATATATCTTATTTTCCTGAACTTCATTAGGTACTGGAGCAGTCCTTTGGCAAAAAGACATCTTTGTCATCTGTAATTATTTCAGGGGCGGGAGGGAAGGGGTGTGAATTGTATCCCACAACCCTCAAGGCTTTCTGTTAGTGAGGACAGGAGCCTTTCTTTCTATGAGCCAGCAAATGTTAGCTGAAGATTCACAGAGAATGGGAGAAGCTTTGACTCCATGGGTACAAATATCACCTAGCATCTGGAAATCAAAAGTTGCAAAGGAGATTTCAGATAGAATTTGGATTTAAAAATGTTCTTAATGCATAAGTGATTTCCTTCTGTAGAAGCTTGATTTAGAAAAGGTGTGCACCAGTCTTTATACCTAGATATTGAATATTGACCCCTCAGGAGTTTAAAGTCAAATATAGACTTTAATAGCCTGCTGAGTCAGAGCTTTGAAGTGCAATATTCTTAAGGAACCAAATTCTCTGCTGGTGTGAATGAGCAGAATCCCAGCCAACGTTAAGTCAATAAAGCTGTGTGTATTTTATGTCTGTGGAGAATTGTTAGATGAGTGGCTCTTCAATATTTTCAGGCTTTTAAAAACTGTTAATACATTTCTTTTTTTCCTTCCTTAGTCATCTAAAGAATTGAATAAAAGGTATATGAAATATTCATTAAGTGCCCTGTAGTGAGTATAGGCCTAGCATGCTGGATGCTTTGTTTACTGTTTTCAAGCTTTGAAACACACTGCTAGTATTGGTAGCTACTTTTATAAACCTTGCAAATAATAAAATTAAGGGAAGAAGTTTTGTACTTTTTACTGTAACTGACTGGTTTGAAGTGTTTTGCATGTGTTTGGTAATGCATCAATTAAATAGCATTTTAAAATATCAGCTTAACTTTAAACCAGACATTCTTAAACAGGTATGCTTTGTAGTTAATATACAAACATATATTGTAGAACATTTTGATCATGCTTATATCTCTTAGACATCACTGTTACTTTCTTTTTTCACCAGCCTGATTCTGTATTATGTGGTTTCCATAAAAGATTATCATGCAAATTATTACTCACACGGTTGGACTAGGTTGCCAGACTATATTCTGTACGCAGCTCCAGGAAAATTTGAAATTAAATGTCTATTTTACCCACTATTTTCATCATTGCTCTCTTCAAGAGCTTACCAGGAGACTTAAGGGTCAGGATCTCCCCTCATTCCCCTCCCATCAGCACCACCTGATTCAGGATGAGTCAGAGGGCTTGTGCCTCACCGCAGCTGCATCCTGCACCACCTGCACTGACCAGCACAGAGATGCACTTGCACGCAGCTCTCTGCCATGCGCAGCTGGCCTCAAAAGAGTCTTTTTGGTGAGATCCAACCTTTAGGAGAGAAGTGTTCAATTACAAGCTCATTTTTCCCCAGTAAATTTTCTGGGGTGGCTTATGAACTCAAACCGGCTGGCTCTAGACTCCTCTTGTGCAAGTACCCATGCTGCAGGAAGTTCTGCCCAGTCCCCTCTGCTTGCCAAAGCCACCGCTGATCTTGCCGACAGGGCCCGAGTGTTGCGTGGTGCACGACAAACTTACCCCTGCCAGCGCTGACTCCGTCGTCACAGCACACTCGTGCTTCCATTCAATGATGGATGAGGGTATAAAAATGACAGCAGGGTTCCAGTCTGTAGTCAAATTACAACTCCAGGAGAGAGAGCTGAAGAGGCTGTGCCAAACACCCTTTCATGGTTCCCATTAATTTGCAGAATTAGGACTATAAAGTTGGACTTCCCTGTTGTATGCCAGGATGTGACAGTCTGGCCATGTACCTGTATGTAGTTTACTGCATAATAACAAGGTAGAACAGGTTTAATATGACAAAACAGTTTTCCAGGGCTTTCTGTATACTTGGTCTTTATTTATTAACTTACACACTAAACTTAAGAGTTAATTCTTTCTTGCACATTTTCTAAAAAAGGTTAAGAACAAGATCTATATAACAATGCATGTTTTTCTAAAGAAAATGTATTCTGTATCTGTGTGTTAAGATTGTACACAATTAACTACTTGAGTGATTGAAAAAAGGCGGGGAGTGAAATTAAGTTGCTTTGAAAAAATAATCTTTCATTTCCTTGAAGCTGCTTCTGCCTCCAAGTTAAAAATATGTTGGCTTTTTCCTATAATGAACTCAGAAAATATGGGCTAATGAGGTGGAATCCATTTTCCTTCTTGGTTTTTTGCTTGTCAGAAGCAGCTGCTTTACATTATGTCTCTGGAGTCAGCTGCCTTAGTTTAGCTCTAGTGTTTGTAACCTTTACAGGCACTGTGCTAGTAAGTCCAAACCACTGTATTGTTAGGAGTCCTGCTATAAACTTCAAATCCGCATGCTCTCATGGGTCAAGCATATGCAGATTGTGTTGTCACAGTCCTCTTATGTAAAATCATAATATGTGCTAAATACTCAAAATTAGGAAAACGGCTTGCCCTTGCATGTTGTCCTCAAGTTCATGGGAAATTGTATGTCACATGTTTTTTGCTTCTGGCCTTTGGAAACTATGCAACACCACAGGGGATTTATATGGCTATGTGTTTTTTTCCAAATAGATTACTTTCCGCAATGAATACTACTCTCTCTTTAGAAAAAGTGCCCAGTGCATTTTCACTTTTTGAACACTATGCAGACAGTCCAGGAAAAAGCAACCAGCACTCCTTAAAACACGCGGCCGGTAAGAATCTCTGAATATCTTCTCTGTAAAAGCTAACGTTTTGGCAATGCTTTGGAAATTTTAGAACGCTAAAAACAGAATATATTTGAGAAGTATGAATTTGCAAACCATATAATTAGCAATCAGAGTTGAATGTAAAATGAAGTCTAATTGTGCACAAGTGGCTTATAGTAGGACGTTAAGATGAGTAGCAGAGGAAAATGCTAAAATATGGGATTCTTGCATCATTGGAAATATCTGTAGCTCAGACTAACAGCAGGTCTCTAGGTGTAAACCTCTGGAGGCTGAAGAAGTTGCTGTTCGCTTGTGGGCAGGGACAGATGAGGCAACGAAGGGGTCTGCTGAGCGGCTTGCTCAAGGGAGGCAGCCCCACGGAGCTGGCGTGGGCAGCAGATCTGGGGCTGGCTGGCAGCGGGGGTCATGGCATTTCTGCCGGATGGGTGCGGGCACCCTCAAACTGCTCTGCACAGGGACAGGAGGGGCAAGCGGTTACTGTAGCTAGAAACAGTCTCTACTCCAGAGGACAGTGAAAAAATTACCACTAAAGGGCCTTGTTCATCTCTTTATCTCGTGTTTCATTTCCTGTAAAAAGCCTATGTGCGTGGGCTTTGTTATGTCCGTGCATATACCTTTAGAAGTCATCTGGACAGCTGTCAACGAAGAGTTTGTAAACGCTAAGCTGTGGATCATTTTTCCTCATGTCAAGGTCTCACTCCAGCGTTTCTGTCTCAAGAGACTTGCACCACACTGCCATGCTCGTGTCCTCCCATTCACCCTCACGCCCTGCCATGCTCATTCTTCTCTGCGCTTTGCAGAGACAGCCTCTGACAAGTTAGGTGCATGAGCAGAGGACCTGCAGTATCTGTTTCCCTACAGGCTTTTGCTTCTTGTTTGGATTACCTAGTGCCTCCCGGGACGCTAGGGATAGCGCCACCCCGTGCAGATTCCCTGGAGTCTAATATGACCTGGAGGCAAGCAGCAGTCTCTCCATCAGGAGAGTCTCTCTCCTCTGCACAGTCATTCACTTTTATTAGATTTATGGAAACTGAATATGTCTCAGACCTTTACTTCCCTGTCAAATTTGTTTGAATTTCTGTGAGGGCTTCTGAACTTAGCAGCTGAGGTTGGATAGGTGCTCATGCATACAGTGTTATCTCAGCCTCATTTCTTTAGGAAAACAGACTAAGAGATCTTTTTGCTCTCAGCCACTGTTCACAGAGCGGTGCAAATATGCTAAGCATCATGGTTTGATTCCCTCTTGCAGTCTCATGGGTCCCGCGAGTCCCAGTCTTTCCTTCTGGGCTGTTACCTGCTGGCAAGGTCGTAGCTGAGAACAGACTCGTTTTATCATTCTGTATTTTCTTTTCCCATGGGTCAGTTCAAGATATTTTTCTCCAACTGCTGAGATCTGCTTTTCAGTTTGATTTGCATTAGCTACGGTGTTTGCTGAACACCAAATGGCTCCAGACTACGTTTGCTTTGACAAACTGGAGATGAATGAGTTTGTCCACAAGCAACTGACCTTCAAAGCTCCTCATCCTTTATACATTCTTCTCTTTTCTTTCTAAAATACCTGATCATCCTTCATTTCCACTACTAAGTACTTTAATTGCTATTGTCATTTTGATTTTTACTTTGGTGAGCAGTAAACCAAAAATATATACTTTTTCAAGCCTCTGCCCTTTTCCTGTCTATTTTCTTGAGGGAAAATAGAGGTAAATGCATACACACAGCTTTATTTGGAAAACCTTGAGTTCATCATTTGGAGGCAAATGTCAAGCTTTCTCAGAATTTGTTTTGACTGAAACCATTTGATGGAATAGATGTGGATTTGCCATGCTTCTACAAGCCACATATTTTTCCTTCAGAAGGAACAGTCTTTGAACAATTTCATAGAACTGTATTTTTATCACTTCAGAAACATCTTTCTTCAAAATACCTTCCATTTCCAAGTGTTCCATACCCACAAAAAAGTCCTTTTCCTTCAAATCCTTCCTCTTTTCACATATAAGCAACCCTGTTAACATTCAGAGGCGTAAAAAACCCTTGCATCACGCCCTTGAACATAATAGAACTTAGGCTCTATCCGATGGAGGGTGGGAATAATTTCAAAATCAGAACATTATTTTTTCCAAATAACAAGAATGAATCCTGTCCATTTATACTAGAAGATGAGGACTTTTGCTGATGGCAACAATCTTCCATCTCAAAGTCATAGAGGAATGTAGCTGCTCTCCTTCAAGTCCACAAAGCCAAGGAAATGTTATTTCTCATTACACTGGCAAGGTGTAAAAATCTTTATAAAACATTTGGGATTATTATTTTGTTCTCTTGGGGGCTGTGGAGATCAGGTACAACAAGGGAAGAGCTTCCTTAGACCACAGCACTTCAGTGAAAACTGAAGCTGATCAAAATACGTCCCGCTTTTCTTTTGGAAAATGTCATTTAGTTGAACAAAGTTGAGGTGCAAATATTTTCATTCTTTGACTAAATTTCATTAAAAAGGAGGACCAGCCTGTTGTTAACAGAGAAATAGTCTGTTTCTGAAGAGAATAGTTGAACTTCTTGCTATAAATTACTTCCTTTCAAAAGTTTATTTTGTATTATGCAAAAGAAAATTAGAAATCAAATGTTTTTCAGTGTTTCCAAACTGAATTTTGATGTATAACTTTTTTTCAGAAGTTTCATTCATTAAGAAATCTTCTGTTCAGTTTTGTAATAATAAATTTTGCAGTTGTGGGATTTCTGTAATCATAAATAACAGCTGCTAGGCAACTTCAGAGAAAAAAACTGGTTTACCCACTGGGTCCATTGAAAGGAAGTCCTTTCCTAAAGATGATCAATTTTTAAATTGGTCAAATCTAGATGCAGTAAAGAGACAAAATGTAGATTGTTTTTAGCAATGAAAAGGAAGACTTTTTTCAATGGGAAGCAGATGTAATCCTACTGTACTTGAAGCTCTCTGTATAAATCATAAGGAAACAGCCAGCATCTGCATTTGCCTTGTTCATGCCACAGGGGATCATCATCATTACTGTGAAGATAACTGAAAAAAGCAAAAGCTTTCTGCTCAGATCCTACCATGTCTGCAATATGGAAATTTACCGGGCAACAAGAGAGAACCATATTTTTGCTTCCTGCAATCACTTTAACGATGAACATTTGAGCAGGGGGGATTGCTTCTTTCCTTCCCCTCCCTCTCTGTTAAGCCATGACCTTAGTAGGGGATAACATCTTTTCAGGGATGGATCTGTCCAGATCAGCAGGGGCTGGGGTGTTTATGAGACATTTAGGGGGGGTCTTGGAGGCCTTTGAATCACTTTAGTGAGGGATTCACATGGGGGGTCTGATGAGGTTAGGGCTCTTCGGCTAAAACAGAGCTCAGGCTCACCTGTCCACAGAGGATCCTCTCTCCTCTGGGTCCCTCGGGAACATGGCCGTGCTGGCAGAAGCCCCGTTTCTGTACCTGTAGGGCGAGCCTGCCTCTCTGCAGGTCGTGGACCTGGTCCCCAGGAGCCCCTGCCCCAGCTGTGAGAGTCTGCGTGTGGGAAGTCTGCACCTTCCTTTTCCTGCTATTTTCAATGTTTTTGTGGATCTTGACAAACCATCCCCCCCACAGTGAGGTGGGTCCTTTCCCCCAGCCACCTCTCCAGGGATTGTTTACATCCACATCTGGAGGAGACTCCGTTCTTCTGCAAGCTTCCCTTCCCATCAGTGAGCAATCTTGTGCTATTTGCTATGAGCAAGCATTTCGCTCTCTTCTTTCACGGGCAGCCTTTCCAGAGGGTGGTCTCTCACTCTAATGCCTGTGCTGCAAGGTACGATTAAATAATGGAGAAGACAGTCTCCCAAAGCAGCCTGCACTATGCTCCAGGAGATGGTCTCTCTGAGGACATGGCCTGAAATTGCGAGGAGTCTCCTGAGGTTTCATCAGGACACGTACCTCTGAGTGGAGCACCGCGTTGGAAAGTTCTGACTGTGACTGAAAGGAGCAGGTCTCCCATCCGCCACTGGAGAGCCCTGGTCGCTGCTGGGGTGGCACTGCCCTGTGGGGGAGGATTTGGACAGGCCAAGAGGGCCAGGGCTGCCCTGCCCCCCTACAGCATGGGCATTTTCACTGCCGTCCTCCCGCAGGAGCAAGCTTCTTTCCCCTCAGATCGCCCCTGGGCCCCACCTTTGTCTTCATCTACCTTTGCTCCGGAGCATCCGGCCTGGGTGCTTGGCTCAGTATTGTGGTTCAGGATTATTTTATTAGGTGATCTCAGTACCTGCCTCTCTGCAGGTAGTGGACCTGGTCCCCAGGAGCCCCTGCCCCAGCTGTGAGAGTCTGCGTGTGGGAAGTCTGCACCTTCCTTTTCCTGCTATTTTCAATGTTTTTGTGGATCTTGACAAACCATCCCCCCCACAGTGAGGTGGGTCCTTTCCCCCAGCCACCTCTCCAGGGATTGTTTACATCCACATCTGGAGGAGACTCCGTTCTTCTGCAAGCTTCCCTTCCCATCAGTGAGCAATCTTGTGCTATTTGCTATGAGCAAGCATTTCGCTCTCTTCTTTCACGGGCAGCCTTTCCAGAGGGTGGTCTCTCACTCTAATGCCTGTGCTGCAAGGTACGATTAAATAATGGAGAAGACAGTCTCCCAAAGCAGCCTGCACTATGCTCCAGGAGATGGTCTCTCTGAGGACATGGCCTGAAATTGCGAGGAGTCTCCTGAGGTTTCATCAGGACACGTACCTCTGAGTGGAGCACCGCGTTGGAAAGTTCTGACTGTGACTGAAAGGAGCAGGTCTCCCATCCGCCACTGGAGAGCCCTGGTCGCTGCTGGGGTGGCACTGCCCTGTGGGGGAGGATTTGGACAGGCCAAGAGGGCCAGGGCTGCCCTGCCCCCCTACAGCATGGGCATTTTAACTGCCGTCCTCCCGCAGGAGCAAGCTTCTTTCCCCTCAGATCGCCCCTGGGCCCCACCTTTGTCTTCATCTACCTTTGCTCCGGAGCATCCGGCCTGGGTGCTTGGCTCAGTATTGTGGTTCAGGATTATTTTATTAGGTGATCTCAGTACTGGATCTTATTTTGCTTGGGATGTGAGGGAAATGGGTGATCAGAATTCCAGGCTGAGCAATTAAGTTTTTTCTTCCCTATTTTAGTTGAACATATTGCTCTAAAACTGCACCAATGTTATCCCTATTCCAAATGTTTGCCATATTTGTTCACTTAAATTGTTTGTCATCTCAAATATTGGTAGTTGAGTGAAAATAAGGGATCTGGTTTCCTCACAATTAACATGTAGTTATTTTGACTCAAAATATTGGATTGTGAATAACAGCTAGAGACTTTTTCTTTCAGTTCCACAGACACCAACTCTGATAGCTCAGGAACCAAACTCAGCTACAAGTACTTCCATCGCAGTCTACTGGACCGTGAACGAAGGGGATGCCATTGACTGCTTCCAGGTCTATTGTATGGAGGAACCTCAAGCTAACAAAGACCAAAGTGGTGTGTAATGACCTGCCTCTTGCCTTTGTGATTGCAGCAGCCCTCACTGCAGTGGTCTCAGTTCAGAGGGGAGGCCCAGGTACAGGGGAGGTGCACACAGCTCGGTAATAGGAGGGGCTGTGAAGAAATCCTGCATAGGACTAAGGACAGGTAACTGAGGAGGAGAGCGCAAGCTGGATGCCATTTCTTCTCCTCTCCTTCTTCCCCAAAATATAAGGTGAATATTTCAGTCCACAAAGTGCAGGGCAGTTGCTTGCAGAGAAGCAGCAACATCCTTGTTTCGGCACTTTTATGGAAGCGGCCCAGCTGTCAGAGTGGATGTGTACCTACCGCGCCGTTGGTACCAACAGGAACCAGAGAAAGAGCTCCCAAAAGGCAGGTCCTGATTAGGAATTTAGGGCCCTGCATGTACTTTGGAAATGTGTCCTAATGAACTAGAACAGGAAAGGATCATCAGAAATGCAGTATTTCCACATGTGGGCACAGCTTTTTTCAAAAAGGCATTAAGATATTTTAATTCTTAAGTATGGAAATTGAGAAAAGAGTATTGAAATGTTTGTTCATTTGAGAGTTCAGGCTAATCATAGAATCACTTAAAAGCACCTGGGTTCTGCTTAAATCTGTGTGTGTGCACACACACGGACATGTGTGTGTCCGTGCACTGAAGGAGACTTTGGACAAAAAATTCCATCATGAGAAGTTATGTTCTAGAGAGGTGAAAACAAGGTTGACAAATCTTGATTGCATGTCCCAAGTTTGCAGCCTATAATATTGAATGCTACAGTATTCCCTTGCCTGCAATGGGATTTGAGGGCACTGAACTCAAAGGCAGGTCAAAAACTTTCTGTCCAAACCCATTTTGAGTAAAACATTGAGATCTTGGCTAGTAATGCCTTCTGTTTTTTTTTTTTTAGCTGACTCTTTTTTAATGTATTAGTCAACAGGAGAAATCAGAGGCCCTGCAAATGAAGTGCATGAGTATCATGGCCTGTGTGTGTGTGTTTCTCCTAGCTTTGGTGGAAGAATACAGAGTGACGGTGAAGGAGAGCCACTGCATTTTGGAGGACCTGGAGCCAGATCACTGTTACAGTGTGTGGGTAATGGCTGTGAATTGCACAGGATGTAGCTTACCCAGTGAAAAAGCCATTTTTAAAACAGGTATGCATAACTTCTGGTATTTGATTACTACAGGTTTGGGGTTCTTAAACAAATTCTAGGTCATCCTGTTACTGAAATAGAAAAAACTCTTTAATTTAGTCCATCCGGCAGATCATAGGTAACTCATAATAACGTTTGCCTTTTTGCGAAAAGATAGCAGCATAATTATTCCTGGGAGGAAAGTTGAAAGTATTCAGATATGAAGATGTTTTAAATCTCGGGCCTCATGCTGGGGACATTGGAAGGGCACATTATAAATTTCCCTTGTGTGCCACAGTGCTGCGGGGCAGCTCTAGGAAAGCCACCTGACTGCTCCGTGCTGCTGCTTCACCTGTGGAAAATGCGGATTACTGCATTTTTTGCCTCTCTGCCATCCTTCCAAATACATCTGTGTTGCATTGATTTAAATGATGAACTTTTCAGGGGAAGGCGCGCTTTATAGTGGTTACATGCAGCGTCTAGCTCACCAGGGCACAAATCTCAGGTGTGGCTGAGAGGCTCTGCTGCTGTTTAAGTGGTATAAATTATGATGAGTATTTAGACAAGTATTGCTTATGAGCTTCACTTGACTGATTAAATTTTCTGAGACCCAATTTCTTAAATAATTTGTGTTGACAAAACTGTTGCTTCTTGAATTATGAGTAGGGTGAAGCGTCCTGTGTTCTAGACATTGACTGAGGCCTCTTGCCAGATGATTTTTTTACTGTTGCAGGGTAAAAATGATCACTAGGCTCATGCATTTACAAAACATGGACAAGGATATTTAACAATTCAGTATTGAAGTAACTCTGTACAACCCCAAGTGTACTATTGAAATCACTGGGCAGCAACAATAGCTTCAAGTGTTTTGCTTACTCCATTGGATATCAGATATTTGGATAATGCTCCTTGCTATTCAATTTGTAGTTCATATTTTTAGCAAGGTGACTTTCCAAATAATTCAAAGCAGAAATCCAAACTTTACTGTACATCAACACTGTAGAGCATGGTGGAGAAATCCTCTGGTCAAATAATTAATGAGTTATTTGTAACAAATAAATAATAGTTTAAACAGGGTTCTGGCCTCTTTCTTTAGGAAAATAAACAAGCTAGCGCAAAATAAACGCATTAAACACCTTCTCTCAAGCTGCCAGGTAGATTTGTGGGAACACTGCTGAAGCACTGACAAAACTGTTACGTCCCCTTAACGCCAAAGGTGGAAAGATGAGTAGCAGCGACCGAAACCAGTCCTTCAGTATGTTGCTGTAGAGCCCCAGGTACTTTGATATTAAGCTAGAATTCTCTGATTCTTCAAGTAACCAAATTAGCAATATTTAAGAACTCAGAAGAAAGAATTTAGAGTTTGTTTTCAGTAATTCACTGAAAAGGTAGCACATACAAGAGAATAATTTGCTGATATATGCAGTTATGGGCATATATACATTATTATTGCATTGAAGCTGGGTCTTCTCCTGGCGTTGGAAAAGGAACACCATAGGAATCCCCATAGGGATGCCCATAGGAATGCCATTGAGTGGACGTGTTGCTCCCGCAACACCGACGGCACTAGAGGGCCGTGTCAGCCGCCCCTCCAAATTCAGCGTGGGCACTCTAGTCCCCTGGGGAACATGCTATTTCTAGAGACCTTTTCCACGAGGCTGAAGACAGCAAGTATCTCTGTCTGCCTCCGCTATGTCCATCTCTAACTGCAAAACGGAGGCTTTTTGCAATCTTAAGAGTAGAGGATTGAATGCACCTTCCTCTGTTGTTCACAATCTATTTGATTCCAATCCTGTATCCAAGGGGCAGGAAAGAACTTATTATTTGCCTCTTTCAAGGTGAGTTATATTGAGTGTTGGACTATTACCAGGAAATCAGCTATATATTCTAATTAGTACAGGTTGACTAGCTGCAGTTTATTTGTTAAAAGTCTCAGAAACAATAACAATTTTTTTCTGATACTCTGACTTCACCTACTCATTAGACAGATCATTTCAAATAAATAAAATACTTAATGACTTGTACTCTAGCTGGAATATCCAAATGTGATGTTTGTACACACATAATGACCTATATGCCTGTCAGTTTCTGAGTGCAGGTGTTAGTGGATTTAGGTACTAATTGTTCATTCTCTAGAAACAGATACATTTAAAAACAGACAATAATCAAATATGTCAAAAGAGTGTTAAAGGATTATTGCCAAGGCAGCTACGCAGGTTTTTTACCAGATGAAAATCTGTCCCATGGGTTCTTTGTTCTGGTGAACGTCTAGAGTGGCTGTTCCTGTCGTAAAACATCAAGTACAGTTTAACCTGAACTGCTGACCTCTTGATTTTCACTAAACCAGGAAATCATATGAGCTTGTGGGTATTTTCTTTTCTAACAATAACAAATTATTTGTGCTACAAAACAGAACGTAACTTGAAGGTCGGTTGCAGCTCTGTAAGATTATCTAGTCTAATTTATATTTTTTTGTTTTAGATATCCTATTTGAAACCTGATTTCTTTAAAAAGAAAATAACTTCCTATGACATTTTCTTTTAATTCATCACATTTATTTAAGGATTGATATTAAGGCTGTCTGTATGAGTGTCAACAACAGATTATAACAGGTTCATGTACGTTGCTATTCCCTGGAAAGAGATGGAGCAAGTGAATATAACGAATCCATTTTCGGGCTACACTGTCTGATGTACTATTTCACACAATAGCTTTTGATTACTTTCATTCAGTGTGCTGTTTTGCATTCATTTTCTATCTTTGCAGTTGGGCCTGTAGTTCTTAAACTGAGGCTTTAAAAAGGAGAAATTATAGGCCCAAATTTTAGCATTCGCTTTGCAAAAATACGCAGGAGATAATTAAGCAGACAAGTCATCATTTCAGCCTCAGTTCTGCAGCATGAGGTTTGCTTCTGCTGCAGTTCACGCAAGGACTGCCGAGGACAGGAGGGAGGTAATCTGGGGAGAGCTTCCCCAGTCCTGCTGCTGTGCTCTGTTCCTTAAAGCATGGCAGAAATGGGCAAAATGTGCTTGAGGAGAAGCAGAAAAATGTGCAAGGACATTCTAAGTATGGGCAGAATTGCACAAACACACACAGTGTGTTTTTTCTTCCCTAACGTCACCCTCTGGCATTGAACCACAGAGGAAAATAATATTCAACCACAAATAAGCAACAGACTATTGTTGGACAGGCAAAAATAACTACCCCGAGCTATGAGCCAGCTCCGTCTATGGTTTTTGTGGGAGTGACTGTTTTTGTTGTGAGCATCCCCGGCCAGCTGCCGGCACGCTCCTTGCAGTGCCGCTAACATGTCCTTGTGTCCACAGCGCCCGCGGCCCCTGCGATAAGGGCAGAGGACTGCACCGTGTGCTGGGACACGGCCACCATCCGCTGGCGTGCCGGCTCGCAGGCGCCGGAGTCCTTCACTCTGGAGTACTGCCGACAGTATTCGCCCGAAGGAGAGGGCCTCAGGTCAGTGCCGAGTGTGGCCCGTGGCCCAGAGCCTGTGGCCTGGGGAGATTAGACAGACATTAAGGAGCACTCTCCTGATTGCGGGTTGTTATGTAAGAGATTACTCTGTCTTGAACCAGGCAAAGAAGAAATCAGCTTCTCTGTGCTGACGACTTTAGAGGCCAGATACTAATCTATGAGATTAGGCCAAGACATAAAAATACTTTATTTCTATTCTGCATAACTGAACAGTGCCTTGCATTTGAGGCCAAAGCCCTGAAGACTTTGCACAGTCTGTGATCAACCGAAAGTTGCAGAGCTGTGCTCCCCTTCTCTGGGGCCGCCACAGCCCCCAGCAGGGCAGGGAGCAGCTGAGCTTTGCAGCAAGTAGTGGGGCGGGACAGGACGGAGGAGCCTGCACCCTGCTTGCTCTTTGCTTTCTGGGGAGCAAGACAGGAGCAGGCTTGGGATGTAATGTGAACAACAGTGGAGACTCGCCTGCCATATCCCTGGGCATAGCCCATCACAGGCACAGCTGAGCCTTGGAAGCAGAAAAAAAAGACCAATAAACCTCCAACGGTTGTCCACCACGGGCAGAGCTGAAGAGGTCTGAGAAGCTCAGGGAACGGAGGCATCTTGGCGTACGAGCCCTGATAGGAGCGTCAACCTGGCTGACTTCTGCCTCTCCTTCCTGCCCCGTGGGCACAAAAGGGGGTCTTCTTCCACCAGCTCATATGAACTTCACAGAAACACGATAGATAGGGTAGAGCTCTACCCCTTGCAGTCAAAATTAGTTAAGATGGACTGAGGAGCTCACAAACTTCTAGTAGATATCTGTGACAGTGCAATCGTGTCCTTACAAAAGTAAGAAATTGAAATAAAACACTTCTGCAGAATTTTTTCACTCAGCACCAGTGTGCTGTGATAATGCAAACAAGGCGGGGGGGAGGGTCTTGCACAGCTCTCCTGCTCTCTGAGGGCAGCCATGATCTGCTCCATTTCATGCATATTTTATGAGGCTATCAGGTCCCTGTCAAGCTGCCAAAGTTGCTGTCAATCAGGGATAATGTAGCTGCTCCCAAACCCTGTACTGTGTGTTTGCACTTAAGTTTATTTGCTGTTAACTGGAATTGCTTTTTCTTCTCAAATCTGAAACAGAAAATGTGCTGCTTTCTGTAATCTGTGAGCGAGGTGGCATTAACACCAGGCAGTTTGCTTGTGTGGGGATAACTGTGGCAACAAGCTGTCGGACCTGACCCACTCTCTTTTCCAAGGGACCTTGTGCAAAATCAAAAATGTTTTTAACTATACTGAGACACATTTGACTTCTCTGGCCTTTCTATGGGCAGAAGCTGGCCTTTTACTGTGACAAGTGTGAAAAACTCAGGACAATCCTAACTATGAATTCTCTCAGAGTTGCTTCAGTTGAAATTTCGGTATTTGTAGAAGGGCTCTCACCTCTTTTCTCAGTGTCAAAGACTACCCTTTACCACTGATTTTCCCTCAAAACAATGCTTCTCTTTCCTTGTCCTGTTGCTCAAAAGCAACCCACCTAAGATTAACCTTTAATATATTCTATAATAGCACAGGATGAGAGGAGGGAGTTTTTTTTAAGATTTGTATTTAATTTTTTGCACAAAGCCAAGGAAAAAAAAGACCATTGGTAGATGGTGCATAATGCCCATATTGCCCCCATCTAAGGCCCCTGAAGGGCAAGTTAGAACTAGAAATCAATTCCTTATGTAGCTGATAAAGTGAGACACACAACTCCAGATGGTGGGTGAGATCTTAGATGGGCTGTGTTGCTTTCTGGAACTGCCTGAATGTCTTTTTTGATATAGAAAGAGCCTAGAGTTGCTATGCTGAGTACCTATATTAGGTAGAGTAAAACTGTGTCTTTATGCCCACCTAGGAGCACTTAGGCCTGGAAACACTATAGTTTCTTCCAGCCTGGAATCTGTCCTCCCAGAAGAAACTGGGAGCAGATTTCCTGAGCTGGTCTTGGGGACCAGGCAAACATGGAGCCCGCAGTGGAAAGCAGAGATGGGGGAAGGAGATCAAGGGAAGTAATGGCAGAGACAATCAGTCACCTCATGAAATTCGCCTGGAGAAAGCAATGCCATCCCAAACTGCACAGCTTCTTTCACACATATCTTGCTGAGAGCCCACCAAGAGCAAGGGGACAGTGCCAAGGGACCAGGAACAGAGAAGTGTCCCCCCAGGGAACAGGTGGGACCGTGTGAGGAGCCCCTGGTGTGGGTTAGGCGCCTCTACCCTTTTGCATATGCTGGAGCAGTCCCAGTTCCCTAGGGGGAGAATTTGAGGAATCTCTAGAAATCAATCTTAATGAAGATTTGCGTTCCAGATACCATCTAAAAATCTATAAAAAGCCTTTCTAGATTCTAGATTTTCTATATTTCCTTCTGGATTTTCTTCCTCTTTCAGCCTGCCCCCTGAGGGACATGGTTTGTCATAAGATCATTTTAGATCTTCTGCAACAACAAATCCTTTGCCTACTGCTGTGATTTTAAAGCTCCTTCACGGGCTGATTTTTTTTCCAGATTAGGAGGCTTTGAAATGTTTCTTTCAGTTTCCAGAGCTCTGCTGTGTGCTTGCTGTTCAGCCTCTTTGTGTTGAGAAGTCAATGGAGCTGTGGGTGGAAGATGGAAACTGAGAGAAATGTAGTCCAGGGATTAGCTGTGTGGGCTGCTCAGATGGAAACCATGTATCACATCATGAGAAATCTGTAAGACTCAGGGAGGTAGAAATTAGTACAGTATGTGGTGAATTCATAAAAGTAGAAGTGTGGGTTCTTCCGACTGAGTGTCATCCTCCCCACTGAGGTGAGATTGACACTGCTAGAGACTGAAATTTTCCATCTACCCATGGAACAGGTCCAACTCTTGAAACAGGAGAGCAAACCTCCCTCCCATTGCTTTACTCATATGACTGTCCTTCCAGGTCAGGAAGCAATGTGAGGAAAATAGTGGCACCTCATCCTCTCTTTTCTGCTGAGTTTGCCATCTAAGATAGCAATGAGGAGCACTGCAGATGGTGCTTTGGTGCTCTAAGCCCCTAGCAGCCGGAATTATGTGACTGGGACAGACAAGAGGAAAGGAAGGATGTGGCACAGCTGGAAAGGAACTTGGAGCAGCTTGTTCCTTATTTTTAGTTTCAAGAGCTTTTTCCTGCCCGTCTCTGTGCTTCTACACATATCTTGAAAAGCCTGCCTGCTTTCAGTTCTCGACATCAGTAGTATCAGCGTAGGTATAGAGGTGCGGTTTCGGTGGGATGCTGGAGAGAGGAAATAACAATTACAATGTGGGGGGAGGGGGGGGGCGCCTTCTGAAACACTATGACACGTATCATTTGCTGGGTTCATGCCATATTAAAAAATATCCTCTAGATGTTGTGTTCTTGAAATTAGATGAGAACGCTGATGATAGAAATGTACTTCAAAACACAGCATCAGATTTCCCTAAAACCAGCTAAATCACAAGTCTTACAGACAATTGCTGATATAATATTGCTTGGCAATCTAAAGGTGAAGAAACAGGCAACTTCTTCCTGCTCTGGTTTAAACAGCAAGTACCTGAACTTTGGAGACTGGATTTTGAGACTTACAGATTCCTCTATGAATTCTCCTCCATAAAGTGAGGGATTAAGAGGAAATACATAAAACAGTCAACTTCAAATGTTTCTTGAATCTTTATGCTCTGAACTTTGTGTAATGATACCAAGATGTTATGGGGACAGTGTGAAAATACTAACATTCTGGCTAAGGGCCAGGATGCACTCTGCTTTGACAGTAGCATTATTGCATTTCCAATCATCTATAAAGTAGGCAGGTGTATTTTAAGTAGAAAATTGATTTAAAAAAAAAAAAATTGCAGTTGGATTTCTCTTCCTTCCGTGATGAAAATGGCATGGTTCACTACTTTAGGTAGTGAACTCGAGGAAGATCTAGATGCAATGCTTGTTACAAGAACTTGGACATGAACAGGCTTTCCCTGAACACAGTGAGGAATTTATAAATGCATCTTCCCTTCCCTTTCCCTATGCTTGTCCTGTATTGCTTTAAGTAATCCATAAGGCTCTATTCATGCTTTCTCTTCGTCCTTAAATTTTTATTACTGATTGCAGCAGTAACCTGAAGCATGACCAACTACAGTGATTGCTGAGAGCCTGGGGAGCCCTCAGTATTCACTTTTCCCCCTCAGCGTATCCTCTAGACAGAAGGAGAGGCAATAGCAAAACCTATTTCTTCTTTGCACTTAGCCTCTTGTGAGCTTGGAGCTGGCTCAGAGTAACCAAGTGTTGCAAATGAAATTCCTTCTTGTTAGCATATTGTTTCATTAGTTGGCAGCTGCAGAACTGTTGTTTAAGCTTTAATCGTAGCTAAAAACTGATGGGCTCTTATACTTAGGAAGCTTAAAGCTGGCTAAAATAGATCGTCAAGCAGAGAACGTTTCTGGAAAATCTGATCACTCTTTTACTGACCAGATCTGCTTAAAGTCTAGACTTTTCTGTGTTGCTATGAAAGCTGAAAAGAGGTATGCTGTTGCTCTCACATTTAAATGGGCAACCAAATTCTGATTTGAAGAATTTCAGATTTGGAAGAGACCTAAGTCTGAATTTTGGCTGATCCTATTCTGCAACTGGCTGAACCCAAAATCTTTTCTGAATGCCTAGGCTCTGGGATCCAGACTCCAGGATATGACTACGCCAGGTCTACTCAGACACCAGCATTTACCTGTCTACTTAGGTTTAGAGGCAATTTTGTATTTTATTTAATAGTTATCAGTTAATAGTGAAAGAGGAAAAAAAGATCTAAGTTCTCTGAAAGGACACTGACTTGTGTGGCGTTTTCCAGAAGACACAGAAGAGGATTCTATGTAGGGAACATTACTGTGCTTAAGATATATTAATCTACCTGTTGACACAAGTAGTTTTGCATGAATGGATTAGTTTATCTTCATTTTATCTCACTTGTAACTGTTTGCTCAAAACTTCTTTCCGGTGTTCTCTGCTTCACATTTACCCCAAAGATGGCCGGGTGGTGCTATTAAACAACAGAGCGGGCCAGACTTATCTAGGAAGTATGGCCAACTTTCTTCAAAGCTTGGGTGCCCTTCTTTTCCCATGTCTCTGCTTCCATCCCCATTTTCCTTTCTCTTACTTTTTCTTTATATTTGCCTCCTTGCTCCGTTCCCCAGTGCTTTGCTTAAGTGCTTCTTGGTCAGGGCTTTTGTTATTTACAGGAGAGAGAGAAACAGTGTAATCGATAGCAAGTTTGGACAACCCCTCTTCTCTTATTTACTGCACCGATTCTAGCACTAGTGTAACACATTCTTTAAGGTGGCAAGGCCCCGGTGCTGATCAAGGCAGAACCCCAAACACTATGAAATTCTTTCAAATTGAAGAGAGCACAGAAGCACCTAGCACTTTTTTTCAATGTTTTCAATTACCTTTAATGACAGCTGTCAGTACAGAATGCCTGTCACAAGCTAATGAGAAAGATGGAGCACCTGGCCTTCTCCGAGAATGACGTCCTCCTAAACATGGCGCTCTCCGTGGAGTTAACAGGAATCTGGAATATGTAAGGCTGTGGGATTTTGTCTTTATCTGCTAGCAGAGGCAGGCATGTGAAAAATCCTAATGGATGAGCACTGATTATTCTTCAGTTTGTACTGCTCTCTGGTGGGACCGCTGGGGAAAAACAGTCACTATAAATGAGTATCAGTGATCTTATCTGACAGCTGACTTGCCTGCCTCACCTCCTGCGGGGTTACAGTAATTAGTGGTGGAAAAGGTGATTTGCTGAATCTAGCTCCCCACAGAGGCATTATCTGTGGGAGGGAGAGCCTCCTGGGCTCCATTTCCAACCTCCTGTGGAAGAAGAAGCGCCTTTTTCATTCTCTAAAGACAAGACCCTCATCCGTTCAACATCCAGGCTTCAGGGCTGGGCACTGCTGAGGGTGCCCTGCCTCAGGAGTCTTCATCTGCCTGCTGCAGGAAACCTGCAAAACAAGAAGGTATTTCTGTGACCTGCCTGCCTGCTCACAGGGTACCATGCCACAGAGAGAGGCTGTGCTGTGCCTGAGCCCTAGGTCTTGATCAGTGTTTGAATAAATACAGCTGTATCTACATATCTGCCTTTTGTGAATTTGCTGGAGAGCAGAGCAAAGCTGGAGAGCAGAGCAAGACTCCTGTGTTCGGCTTGTCTCAGTACCACTGAGGTTATCTTCTTTGAACCTGACAGGGGGTTATCTCAAAAGACCTGCATTACACTTGAGAATTAAATACTTGCCCTGAAGATTCCTATGAGCATTTTTGTGGGGAGATTGTCTGGACTGTACAGATAAACAGTGTTTACCTACTCATACACAGTGCAATGGGTATATGCTCTTTAACTTAGCCATTATAATATGAGGCAAAAAGAAGGACAATCAGGATCACATGTATGAGAATTTGTTAAGCCAGTCTCTCATATTCGCAGCAGTCTATAAAATAAAGTCAGCATCTTTCTAGCCATCCAGAGTACCTTCACTGGCACTTCAAAGTGCCTGTGAAGCAGATTGAGTGGGTGCTGACTCTCATTCTCCTGGAGTGTGTCAAGGCATCAGTGCTTGAGGATGTGACGGCCGGAGCTTTTGAGGCATCGCAAAGGATAGACTTAGTCAAAGCAGGGCACTGTGCAAAGGCAGTTCCCCTGTTGCTGCCTCTTGCAAAACCAGCCTGTCGGAGAGCTCGGCACAGTAAGGGAAACAAAGCCAAGACTGTGTTGCTGAACAATTTGTGAGCAAGGAGTTCACAGTAGGAAGTGCACAGCTTCTGTGCAGTCTCAGATAAAAGCATCCTTTTGCGTGGATTTGGAACGTGCACCAAGATAGTACAAGCACCGCAAGCAGGTTCACTCCCATGCGGCTGAATTAACTATGAGCACTTTTTCTTCATAAGCGTGCTCATTTTGAAATGGAGGCATTTTATAGGTGGAGGATGAGAATTTGATTCTGAGCTGCTTGCATTTTGTGCAATGACTTATGCTGCAAAATGAACATAAAGTGAGCATTGCATGAAATGACTGCACTGAGTGACAAGGCAGTGCAGGAACAAAGGCCTAAAAAATTATCAGACAAAGTAAGAAGGATGCTGCAGGTGAAATGGAAAAGCTCCTACATAACCTGGTCATCTGTGAAAACAAATTTGGAGTTTCCCTGTGGTACATGTTGTTTCAGTAGTCAACAATGTGCTTAGGTGGCTTAGCTGTTTGCATAAATTATTCTTTCCTGGTTTGGATTTCTGTTTTCATACGTGTAAGTATCTTTTCCATTTGCAGATCTTTTGCTGGAATAAAGAGGCCTGAACTGAAAGTATCCCTGGAGCCTAACGTGAACTATTTCTTCTACTTGAGGGCTGTCAACGCATTTGGGGCAAGTGAACAGAGTGAAGCTGCTCTCATCTCAACTAAAGGTAGGTCACCATTTTCTGATAGCAAAACAATGGGATGGAGGGACAATGCAGTCAGAGATGGCCTTTTCCTCCAGAAATTATAAGTGACCTTTCAGATAGCGGAGTAACCAAGTTACTGAGAAAAAAAAGAACCAGATTTAATCTGCTTAAAGTTAGCACAATCTGGGATACTTCATTTGAAATCGGTAAATTCATGTCAACGTAAAACTGGTGTGAGCTCAGAAGCAAAGCTGTTGAATGTTGTCAGAGATACAAAATGGCTAAATATTCTTCAGGGATCTCAGTTTCTTTGAGTTTGACAGAGCATATTCTAAGAAAAGATTCCATGATTTAAAAAAAAAAAAAAAAACACTTACAGACTTGGGGTTCAGGGATGAGGAACCAAGCAGAGTATGTTTTAAAATGTAATGACTGTTTTAAATGTTAAGGTTTCCAGATAGATAGTGTTAAATTATGTATGGTTCCAAATCAGCTTCAAAATTCAGCTTTGCTACTTTGAAAAAGCAATTGGTTTAAAATGATTCAGTCTTCTTTAATACCAAAGACTTCTTTATCACCTAATTAGTTTTCTGAATTATATAACCTGATACGATCCCTGGGCCTGGCTGCCAGAAGACTGCCATCTCAGATGGGCGCAACTTGAAACAGTCTTTGCACTTTCTGTCACTCTTGCCAGCAAATACAGCTCTGTCCCACTAAGATGGTAGTAATTGTTACTTAACGTTTTGTGATTCGTCTCAAGTTAATGTTGCCAGTGTTTCAGAACTGGTGTTTCTTTGTTGTGAATTGTACCAGGAACTAGATTTCATGTACTGAGTGACACAGCTCATCCCGCTTTGCAAATCTCCTCCGATGGCACCGTGATATGCCTTCCCGAGAAAGCTCGATTCACCGGGTGAGTAGCTGCATGCCAAGCACAGCTAAGCTGCCAGCTCGCTATGGATCCCTAACTTCTACCTTTGTCTGTGTGTAGCTTTCACCTGATGTTAACTAATTTTTAGGAAAAAAAGATTGTTTCAATCATGCAATCCCTGGACATTATGGGATAGACCCCCTCCTTCGACACCACACCCCCTCAATAATGCCAGCTGCAGCACTGATATAGGTGCCGGAAAGAGTTAGATGTTGCACTGAGGAACTTCCACAGAAAGTTAAAGGCAATAGTCAGAGGTACATACTGGGACAACTGGGTTTGCCTTAGCCTGTAGTCACTGTTTAATCCTTCAGAACACTTTAGTCTTGAGGCAACTTGTTGCTGCCCCAAGCTGGCCAGAACTGTGGATTTATTTTTGAATTGATTGTGACTAGAAGTAATCAGTGCTCTTACTTTGCTTTTCTGCTGAAGGCATTACTGGTAACGTTTTCAAAAGCATTTGTGGCTTCAGAGAATTCAGGAACTGCTGCCAGGGCATATTAGACTAATATCTACCAGGCTAGCTCCATCCATTGCAAACATGTGGGTTTTTTTGTTTTGCTTTTTTTTGCATACTATCAGTCTAACAGCGATCCATTTGTACATAATTGTATCATATTCATTATGGCTTCTTAAAATGAAATGGGGTATTACTGGTTTAAGCACCTTCTCATTGTTACAACTGAATCCACCTAAGACAATAGCCACTATGTCTACTTAAAACAGCCTTGCTTTCCAGCTTGAACAAGCCTGGTAAAACGTAATCTGTAAATCTAAGATCTTACTTGGCTCCAAAGTTACCCTTTCCACCTTTTGCCAGCTTCATATACTTTTGAGTAAAGTTTCATAGTTTTCAATCCTCAAGATAAGTCTATCTCAGTATGAAAATGACCTGACTTTCAGTGAGAACATTCACATCTTTGATAAAAATCTGCAATTAGAAGAACAGAGTTTAATTCATTAGTAATTTCTGATGCTGCTGCATGATGTGATTACAAGAAATATCACAATTTGGTTGGTCTACCACCAGACTCATGTTCCTGTCTACCTTTCCGTAAATAGATTTCCTTCAGTCCTGGGAGAACTGCTACCTGCTCGGGGCCGTCATTACTGGGAAACGGTTGTCTCTGCCTGCAGAAGCTACAGGATTGGAATTTGCTATGAGGCTACATCACAGAGCAATATCCTGGGGCTGAATGATACTTCTTGGTGCATGCGCTGCTGTCCTACACAAACTAGGTAAAGCTGAGTCAGTCTACTTGCTTGGGAAGTTACTTGTCCTTCATGTGGACGAACTGGCCACCTTCAAGAATCATGACAGCACAGAGGACTTGTCTGCTTCATTTTTGCAAATTTCAGCAGCAAGGAAAAAACAGCTATAGAAGAGTTTTAGACACCCTGCTCTTATTTAATAAATGCACCTTATTTAATAATGCCCCTTAAAAAAACTCAACATCAGTCTGAAACAAGGGCTTTGAAGTAATGCCACGTTTGCTCAGATAGGAGGGTTATGTACTGAGCAAAACCCTATTGCCACATGATACACTGCTACATGCAATAACTTGTTAATAGGTGGGAATTAAATGATAAGTTATTTCTGGTAAATGACAATGAGGATGCTCACTGTAATTTGGTTTCCATTTTCCTGCAGTTTTCTTTACAGATTTCTTCACACCAGTGTAATGAGCAATGTCCGGGTGACAGAACACCCAGCCAGGATCGGCATCCTGTTGGATTACAGCAGTGGCAGACTGTTATTCTTCAATGCAGAGAGAGGACTGGTGTTGTTCACCATCAGGCACAAATTTACGGATGCTGCTCACCCGGCCTTTGCTCTGGAGAAGGCTGGAGTACTTAGCCTGCGCACAGGAATGGAGCTGCCCGAGTTTGTGAAGCACAGCTAATCCCGTGCTTCAGACTCTCAGCAAAACTGACAGTCGCAGTATTAGGGGCAGGGAGGAGAAGAGGGTGTCAGGGAGGGGTGTCTAGTTTTCACTAATGAGTGCTATGCGCACAGCTCCCCCAATAACGTCAGTAATTGTAGTTAGTGCCCAGCCACATAATCACCCTGCGCCTGGAGAGAAAATCAACTCCTTCGGATGGAGTGCGCACCTCATGATATACACAGAAATACTTATGAAGAAAAAAAGGTTTGTTAGATATGAGCATTAAGATGGGGGGAAATGTACTTTCCCTGTGAAAAAAATGACAGCACTAGCTGTCTTTTTTAAATTGATGATGAGCCTGTGTATGAAATAAACGCATCTCTCACAGCAATACATGACTTTTTTTGTTAGCAAATGCCTTCGCTTCATCATTTGCCAGGACAGTCGGAGCCCAAATCCAAGATGGTGTGTTTGAAAAACGTCCAGAAATTTTTACACCTGAAACATCCTGCAGGAGAAGATATCTTCTGTTATTATTTGCCAACTCTTTTCTTTAAATACTCAAATCAAGAAAACTCGGAAACTTAGAAATCTGTATTTTTGCAAAATGAACGAGGCCCAGACTAGTCTTGATATCAGTCATGCAAAATTTCAGTATACACCACCTGCCTGCCGTGTTCGCACTGGACTCACAGGCTGGGTGTCTCAGGAAATATCTGCACCTGCAAACAGGTGCTCATGAAGAACTCTTAGGAGGGAACTTGACAGTAGTGTTAAAAGTCATCCCTTATGTTTTTAATCCTCAAATTGCTGGGTAGGCAGTTTCAATGATGAAAGGAAAGTTGTCGCCTGGGACCTTAGAGAACAGTCAAAAATTGTCATCTACCTTCTCACCTTCTTGTGGATAACCACTTTTCCCTCACTGCTTTTATCTTTGAACTTACGGATTTGATGCTCCTAATTTCAGGCTTATGGCTATTTTTCTCCATCTGCCCTGTTCTGTCCCATCGTCTACGCTAGCATCAGGATCGTCTGAGCAAGGTGCAGCGTTTCAGGGCCATTGAAGTAGGAAGGCTAAACATGAGTCCTGCCAGCAGAGGAATAGGATGCTGATTTTCCCCTTGGCTTGTTCTAACAGTGGAACTGTATTTCGAAGTGGTGGTACAGCTCTCTGCTCTCCTGCCCCAGGGGCTGAGCTCACGTGTGCCAGGGGTGACAAGGAACGCCAGTGAATGCTGGGGGAAAATTAATCTGAAGGAGGATGCGCAATGTTTTTCACGCTGTGCCTGCTCTGGCAGTTTCCGCCGAAGGGGATTGCTCTGCCAGGCTCGTTGCTGAGCTCAGCTGAAGAGCTGTACTCCTTGAAGAATTTCAGGCGTCTAAGGGAGAGGGTTTGCTTCTGAACAGAGAACTTAAATGTGTTACAATTAGGGCTTCTGCTTTTTATGCTCAGAGGAGGTGCCTACTGCTGCTGTTTTATTTATGATTTAATACCATCTAGCCGTGTGCTTGCTGCTTTAGCCTGCTGTGTAAGGCATGCTCTGAGTCCCAGAGGAGCAACGCTCTTTACGTGTTGCAGCAGGCTAGGACAGGATGGCAGAGGCAAGATAAACAAGATCCTGTGACCATTTATTTTAAGCAAGAGCTCTTTTTGGCATTTCAATTAGAGTGCCATTTCTGTGACTCTGCTGGGGAGAGACAGGAACAAAAAAGCAGGGTAGCACCCTATTGGCTCAAGAAAGCATTTTGTAGAGGTGTGGAGGCTGGTGAGAAAAAGGTCCAAGATTAATTGAAAAAGAAAGACAGAAAGGGTACTGGGGGTAGTGTTATCTTGAAGGCTGCGGAGGAGGAGGCAGCAGGCAGGCTGGAAACTCGCACGGAGCAGATGGTGCTCGATGGCGAGGCAGGTCAGCGGTGTCAGCAGTGCCTGTTCCTCAGGGTCCATCCGCCAGGCAGCTCGCGCGAGGTTTGGTGCCTGGAGAGAGTAATGCGCACCTTTAAGCTAAGCCTGAAAATCCCAGCTTTGGGGAGAGTTTATCTGCATTCTCCTCACCCTGATCACTGCTATCCACACGTGGGATTGGTTCGCCAGCATGGATGTCATGTATTGCCAAGGGGACAGCTAGTGCTAAGGAGAGTACAAATGACATGAAATTATTTGGGTGTCTTTTTCATTTACGGCAAGAAGCAATTGCCTTGTCCAAGGCAATTGAATGTTAGTAAATAGCTGTTTTAACCTGAAAAGCTAAAGCCTTATCTATAGTAATGCATTATTATTATACTCAGGTACTGCTGCAACATTTGAGCTAGGCAAAATGTTTTTTTTTTGGAAATGCACCCATTCTTAGAAATATTTGAGTGTATTTTGAAGAACTCCCTGATGTTTTCTTGCCAATTTTTGTTTAAAGTTCAGCTTTTGGATTGGGCAGCATCAAAAAGTGTATTTGCTGTTTATGTGAAAGTTGGATAAACTATTTCGAGTCAATCACAGCAGCCTTAATAGTGCCAATTTGAATGTCAAAATCTGGTCTGCGTTAAGTCACACTGAATGAAGAAATGTCTAGAGAGACGATCCTGGTTTGGACAGATGGAACAAAATGCACACTAAACAAAAAGCTTTATACGAGACTTACTAGTTCTGGCATAGAGAGAAAATTCTGTTAGTGAGGAAAGCAGATCCTGAAGGCCACAGTTAAGCTGCTAGGCCTTATTATATATGGTGCAAATTCTCTTGCCCTTGGAAAGTCTAGAGGTGCATCTGCCGTGATCTTTTATTTGCGTGATGGGTGCAAAGTGGAATCAAATTCTGGAATTCCAGAAGTTCCAGACTGTAACTTCATGTGGCTTTGAAAGTACGGTGCAGTCAGTCTGGCTTTCCATTCTGATGAACCGATATTTTTGAGGCTTGTTGCATCCATTTTTCTGGACATCGTCGTTTGTAACCATACACTAGAAAAGAGAGAGAAAGGACAGAAAACTCCCGCTATTGCGTTTCGCTTGTGCTTGATGGTTTTAGCATTTAGAAATACATTAAAAACAGTGTGAATTATTTTTCAGCAAAGGATGTTAATTTGGTTGATAGTAACTAAGACTTTGTACAAGTGCTAACAGGGTTACACAGCGTATGCACATAGTCTGACCATCATTCCATGCTTATAGTTACACAGGTACATTTTAAGAGTTAGACAAAAACAGTAAAAGAGTTCAGGATTCAGCAACACTTGTGAGGGTGTATTGCTGTTCTGAAGGTATAAAAATTTATGCCCAACACTGTAAGTACTGTTAATAAATATTTGGACTGATCTGAAACGCATTGCATTAGAAGGAAAGATTTCTTTTCACTTCAGTGGGTTTTAGATTAGGCTCATAAACCCTTGTGCACTGAAATGAGAATGCAGGCCTGACTGTAAGAGAGAAACATTAATTTCTACTGTCAAAGCAGTGCTGAACTGGAGTACTGCTAGTGTCGGAAGTATTGATCCACAAATCTCCCTTTGGTCTTTCTGCTCCAGAAAGATTTGATGCTTCTGTTTAACGTCGAGCTGAGGAACTTGGCCACGTGTCTGCATACCAGGGAGCGTGCCAGGCATGTGCATAAAGGGATGATGGTTTTGCTCTTCTGCTAGCCCTTTTTAAACAGGGCAACATCACTGAAATTTGTGTTTGTACTGAAGATGATCTAGTGATGCCTTATTTTAGAAAGGCATACATTAGAGCTCCGCCACCCCAAACACTATTACTGTAAAACTTAATTACATGTTATCACTGAGCCTGTTGTGAGACGCAGTCCCAGTAAGGCACAGTACCAATAAATTGTTGCTAAATCCACATGTGCTAGTCTGTGTTATACATGTGAATTATACTTTCTTATCAGCACTGCGGGGGTTTGAATAGGTATATAAAGATACATTTAAGAATAATATGAATTTATGATTTTTTTGAACTGCCCTCATTTCAGAATAATAAATAGGACCTCTGCTGTGTTGAGGCTTAAATTGAATTTGGAAAACTACATTCTGTAGTGGAATCACTATTACATTTCTTTCATTTTTGATAAAGGAATTGTTAGCTCTCAAGAAGCTAAATATCCTCAGATTGTTACATAACCATCAAGGAAGTGGGAGTGTCTCTTCTGCTCTCAGCAGCGGGCTATGAAAGGGGGATTGAACTAGAAAATCTTCTCATTTTTCATGTTGTGTTTGGAGAATTTTCTGTGTAGCAGGAGGTAGTGTTTGTTGGTCAGGGACCACTCGTGTGCGATTCCCACACGAGCACAACCTGGAAGGACACGGAGCAGATCTGCACCCCAGGCGCCACAGCGATTTTGTCAACAGCTGAAAAATGTGTAAGTTCAAGGGCAGTTCTGGAAAATATCTGTGTAGAAACACCACCTTCCTTTTCAGGACCTATATTACAGAGACACTGTTTCTAAAACGTACTCTTGTCAACCCTGAAGAACCAAGGCTGCAAGCAGAGAGTGGAGTAGCCTGTAGCTTATCCTATGCTACTACTATGGGACTCGGCTGGACTCCAGCCTGCTATACTGTTACAGAGCTACCGCCAGGCGCAGGGCTGGAGGGCTGCCCCGGCCGTCACAGGTACAGTGCTCAGCTGGCTTTTGCAGAGCCAGGGAGAAGCCAGGGGGCTTTCAGGGCTGGGGCTGGCCAATGGAGACCTTGAGCCAATGGACACTTTGCATAGCCCAGTCTAGTGAGCTTGGAAGGACCTACTGCACGGTACTTCACAGTACCATGGCTTTGAACACACAGCGCATATGCAGTCCCACTACTTTTATTTTAATAGTCACTGGGAAGAACAGAACCATGTTTTGAGGTAAAATTATCAGAATTTATGTTACCTACTTCTGCAATTGCTTTAAGTATGCATCTGTTTCCTGCAATTTTTTCCCCAAAAGGGAAAATTACTGAAAAATTATATTTGTAAAGTAAGTACAGCCTTCAGAAAAAAGGAATAAACTCCGAATACTCTTGAACAAGGAAGGGAACTTTGCATGCGACCCCAACAGCATTCACTGATTTTGGCATCCCACACTGGCTACTAGTCATGTCATTCGCTTACCCAGGACGTTTTTTTCTTCTCAAACATATGTTAATATTATGTATAAATATTTATTTACACTGCTAATTGCATACTAAATGACCAGTAGTGCCTAGGAAGTACCCTGAATCAGTATATAATGTACAAAGTCATGGCTTTTCTTTCATTTTAAAGCAAGGAATGTGTATTCGGAAAGTCTGGTAAAGAATTCTCTGCGGTTCAAGCAATAGCAGAATTACATAGGAACACATATTAATAATCTACCCAGGTACAAAAAAGGTATTACTCGCTGGAGTATAAAAGCACATTTTGGACGTTAAACCAGGGCATTTCTGAGAGGAAAAAACAAAATGTCCACTGTGTCACTGAGCCCAAGCTCAAATTAGTATTTTTTAAGCTCAGGGCCCTATACATCTGTTAAATGCTTCTCCAACGTAAATCTATGCTACGTTCTGTGATTGCAATGCAACAAGAACCAGCGCTGCTACATGGCACTGCAGTTATTTTTGCATATGTTCAGTAAGTTCAGTGGAGCCCATATAGTTGGGCTTACAGGGGGTTTGTCCAGTCAATTAAAGAGCAATAAATCAGACACTTTCTCAGTGCGGGATTCCTGGGGCATCTGTATGGCCATGGTGGGAAATTCCACAGCCCAAAGCCTGATTATGGTAATTCTTCTCCTAAAGCTGCTGGACCTCAGCGATCCCCAAGGAAGGAACACAGCAATTAGACTCCAACAGAACAAAATTTCTGCTGGAAAAATTATGCGTATTGGAAAAGCGTACTTTGGACCTTAATCACGCCTGAAATACAACCTCTGCTAGAGTTACAAGAGAAAGGCAAGAACGTTTGGTTCCCATTATTTTTGTTTAAAAATCACTGCCTGAGAACTTAAACTCTGCCTCTTGAAGATCACATTCAATTTACGAGACAAAAAAGGAAGGCCCTGTTACTCCCAAGTAAAGTAGGTATGTGGCCCACCGAAAGGCAATGTTTGTTGTACTGCTACTTGCCCAGCAGAAGGAAAATCGGAATGCTCATCTTCCAGCCACTTTGTCATTTTTTCCTATCTTTAAAAAAAAGCATTATCTCCACTAAAAGCAAAATGAGTTACAAAAAGTCCCAAGCAATCACGCACAGCTCTGTCAATGTTGTTTTCAAAGATGAGAATTTAGTCAAGTCCTTCACATTAGGGAAATTCTCACTTAATGAATTCAGTATTGATCTTGAGTTAAACAGCTTGGCTAAAACTTTTCAAACTTAGAATAGTTATCTGCCTTTTATAGATAGGTATCTGTGTTTTAAGATGGTACACATGGTTTACTCATATCGCTTCTCAAAACAGTATGGCAGCTCTGCTAGCTGCAGTGCAGAAGCTATGTAGGACTCTAGAGATTATGAAATAATGGGCTGAAGGAAAGGGCACTGCAGCTGTAACCGTCAAGAGGATGCTAATGAAGCAGCAGATCCAAGAATGTGACCAGCACCACCCATGTGTAGTAGGCAGGATGTTAACCCAGGGAAGCAAAGCTTGGAAACGTGAGAGAATCATAACCCCAGGAACACATGAATGCTGATTTCTATTGCATATAGTAAAGGGAGAATAAGCAGGAAAGACATCTGCTGGATGTTAGGACCAAAGACGTTTATTTTTGTCAGCCATGTATGACAGCATGTCATACATGTATAGTTAATTATACTATTAATGTATAGTTAATTATATGAATCCAATGGATCACATGCATGCACATTGGAAAAGCGTTACATATATCAGATTTGTAACACAGAGAAATAACTCCAGAACAACAGTTCCCACAATACTGTTTGACGTAATCCAGCTCCTTGGATACTCCCTGCAGCTTAGAGCTGTGGAACAGCAGTCCTTAATTCACCGCTTGTTTCAGCTGAGTCTTCCAGTCTGGTTTATAGACAAAGGAAAATAAAACTGCAGAAACGAGCATAACAGGGAGAACAGAGACTGACGCTGCCAGCAGTGCCAGCTTCCTCAGGATTGCTGCCAAGGGCATCAGTGAAAAGGAGAGTGATGCTGTGGGGTAGCAGTGCTTGCTTAACCTTGCCAAGATGCAGCAGAGCAAGCTGCCAAATCACCTCTTGTAGCCCCTGGCTTTTACATTTAAGGCAATGAAAAACCAGCAATGATATAGAATGATGAGTTTCAAATCAGGTGGCAGAAAGAATACAGAAGGTGTTTTCTTTGGTCAGTGCCTGAAACTGCCTGTCTCCACACATCAACAACTCCAACCTGAAGCCTGCAATGCTGCTCCACCCTCTAGGCCTTGCGTACTCACCCCGCAGGAAACCTGGGGGAGCATGAGCTCCGCCATCCCCTTTGGTTGCTTGTAAGCAGTGGAGTGCAGGGAGGGGGGAGGGTACCCCAGTAACTCTCAGACAAAGTGCCCAGGGTCTCACAGGCTATGCTCATAAAACACCTCCACCTGGAAGACTGTATAAAGTTCACTTCACAGTAAATTTGAAGTTTTGGGTTTTTTTTCCCCCTTTCCCCTTATTTTTTCCCCTTCCCTGTTTCTACTTCTAGATCATTTGCTGCTTTCTGCTTTTACTGTTCACATCATGCTTAAGCGTGAGCCTGCTGTGGGATCTGTGCACCAGCTGCACATCTAGCAGATTGCTCACCAGAGCTCTGCAAGGTTCGAAGTGAAGCAACCCTGGCTGCAGGACCCTGCTGTAAGCTGGTAGTGGAGAGTCCTGGAGTTTCACCATCCCAAGGGGCCTATTCACCCCCTAACAGAATCACAGAATCGTTTAGGTTGGAAGGGACCTCTGGAGATCATCTAGTCCAACCTCCCTGTTCAAGCAGGGTCACCTACAGCATGTTGCCCAGGATCACATCCAGACGGCTTTTGAATATCTCCAGCAAAGGAGACTCCACAACCTCTCTGGGTAACCTGTTCCAATGCTCAGTCACCCTCACAGTGAAGAAGTTTTTTCTCAGGTTCAGGTGGAACTTCCTGTGGTTCAGTTTCTGCCCATTGCCTCTTGTCCTGTTGCTGGGCTCCACGGAGAAGAGGCTGGCCTCATCTTCTTGACACTCCCCCTTCAGATACTTGTACACGCTGATGAGATCCCCTCTCAATCTTCTCTTCTCCAGGCTGAACAGGCCCAGCTCTTGCAGTCTTTCTTCATAGGAGAGATGCTCCAGCCCTCTAATCATCTTGGTAGCCCTAGGCATGCTGGTCCCTGTCCAGTCCTCCTTTTTCCCAGTGCTTCCAGGAGGGTTCTTCAACATCTGATGTCATCAGCTCCTTGTCTCTGCAGCTTTTTTAAGGAGTCTCATCAGCTCTCCTACATTTCTCTTGGTGGATGGTTCTCCTTTCTTTGCAGGAAGGCTTTATCTCCACATCCCCACCTAGCAGCTACCCTGTCAGTAGAAGCAGTCCCCCAACACCTCCTCCTCCTCCTGCTTCTAGAGTAGTAGGCAGTCAGTCAGGGCCACAAATCTACTGTGGACGTGACAGCCTTGCTTTGTGGATCGGCTCTAGTCTCTCTGTCTGGCCTTAGCAACAGTCTCCAGGCCAAGCAGAGGAGCTACTGAGATGACAGGCTGAAGAGCTATTTGCAGAATGACTGGCTCCACACTC